ATTCTGCAGCCATCTTTATCCTTTCTTTATTTCATTTCATTCTTATTCTTTCATTTCATTACTTATATTATTATTCCCTTTATTAAGTCCATCATTAATCATATTTTCTTTCTTATTTTGTGCAACCCAAGCTTATAAATTCAAGGACATCAATACTTGTCAATCCTATATCGGGACACAATAAGGCTATCTACATCTCTCCATCAAAGCGTGTAGACCAGCCTTACATCAAGATTCGAAAGAAAAAGAGGAATAAGAAGTCGAGAGAATGGTGGAAAGAAGAATTTTGTGAAGAACTAGCAACAAAGAAGAATAAAAAGAAGAAGAAAAGAGTGCTAAGTTTGAGTAACAATGGAGAACTATGGTGGAAAAGAGATGAAGAAATGGTAGAAAGAAAAAGGAAGAAGAATAGAAAAGGCATCATTGATTGGTGGTTAAATGGATTCTGTAACCCCCACAAACCGATAAGGGTAACCAGATCCGATCCGGGGTGTCACATTTGGGCCACCGGAGCGACCCATTGTAAAAATAGCGGAAAATTTAAAACTTTTTACCAGAACATGTAAACTTATAAAATCATTTGTCACTATTTAAAAATAAAATAGATTTTTGGTCTCGTATATAAAACAAAATACAATTACATGCCCCCTAATCACATGTATCATACTCTGCAAACAGCACCGGAAGAACTTCCTTACTGATGACGATAGTTGTACTGGTATAATTCTTTTAACCTGAAAAGATGAGTAACAGAGTGAGCATTGGAAAGCTCAGTAATACAGAACTACCAGATAATGCTGAAGAACGTGCAGATACAGATAAACATATTTTTCCTTATCGATTCAGACATTTACAGATCTTTATACGGAGCAGAGATTCTACGGATATTTCAGGTAGTAACAAATAATATTCATTTCAGATGGAAATATTTCGGATGTCTAGGTTCAGGAGATCAGAATAGATTTTCTAGTGTGTTCCCAAAAACCATGTAACTTTCAGGTCTTTTTAAAACATATATATATATATATACCCCCATCCCAACACATCATAATGTGTAGGTTCCCCAGAACCATACACCCAACCCAACACATCATATAAAGCCATGAGCACAAAGCCGAGGAACCTGCGGAAATTCTTCCTTCAACAATACCCCCCATTTAAAATATTTCTCCGTCGGTAAACGGAGATATCAAAAATCAAAACATAATTCAGATCAGATATCAGAACAGAATCCAGGTTAGGAATCAGAACATATTTCAGATCAGATGTCAAAACAGAATTCAAATCAGAAATCAGATAAAATATTCATATAAGTAGGGAACACACTAGAGTTTCCAGATATTATTTAGAGATACAGGATAATCTTATCGGGCAGAGAAACGCAAATCTTCAGTTTACCAATAGAATGCCGGAAATTAGAATCAATATTAGAAGAGTTTGTTAACTAACAAAATCATCGGTTATTCAGGATATGATTCATCGGGATCATCTTATTCGTACACTTTTCTGAAGCTCTACGAAATTTGAAGGTATTCAGAATCTTTACAATCTATGACGATTAATCCGATTATTGAACAACTCCAGATGAATAGCTTCCAGAACCAATACTTACCAACTTGTCAATTCATTAACCTTTCAGGGTATTTACTCTTTAATACCAAATATTCTTATCCACAAATCATCATCTGAGTCATCACTGAATAGATCTTAAGGAGACAAACAAATATTCTAATGGTCTTTATTTTATTTCCATGTTTCAATTATACCATGAAATGTTGACGTACTTGATTTGTGGTTCATAATCCATAGGGATGATACATCATATAAGTTCATCCGAGTTTCCAAACTTATTCCAATCTCTTACTTAATCCTCAGTCTTTGAAGTTACATAGTTCATTTAGCAGTCAAGTCCTTCACAATTACTTCAGGGTTTTCCATAGTAATTCGGACTTCTGAATTCTATATACATACTGCACTTCCATTCAATTCAATTTGGTCTTCGTGATTGATTTGTCGAACCAACATCAATTCTTAGTACTGAATGTGATCTAGAGTTGAGTTGAATACTTCCAAAATTTATCATCGAGCCAAACTTGAGAAGACGAACACGTATTCAGGTAATATATATGCCATCCAGGTATTGACATAACTTTAGGGTTGATCTACTCCCTTAAATTATGATACATTACTTTTAAAGGTAGTCCAACACCTATGCTTATTTGGATTCCTTAATTAGTCCAAGACATTTACTTAGTATAGGAAACAAGGTTATTTTGGTAATTTTGGTGTTCAGTTTTATTCCATTTATTTCATAGCTCGAGGATATCAAATCATTCCTGAGCTTGGTGATATTCTTGGGTTATTTCTACTACAAGGGTATTTTGGTCATTTTACAGATTCGGTGTATTTCAATCATTTCTTTCCATTCTGTCTTATTATTTAATTCCAACTTATCATTTATTCCAGACCTTTCAAACAATTCTGACACAAGAACACCCTCGATAATTTATTCTTAACTATGAATTTTCAGGTCACTGTATTCTCAGAAGTTACAAACAGGTTATCATGAATTTTCTGTACAAAGACAGGATTTTAACAATTAAATCCGTACTTAATCGAGTTAAGTACGAATCCTCAAAGTACTTTCTCATTCAGGGTCAACTCAGACTATTTTACCTCTCAAGGGCATTTTTGTAATTTCTTAACCAGATAATTTCGGTATTAACTCTTAACAAAAATAATATAATTTTGAGATCCTATAATTAATTGTTTCCTCGAACCTTCTCTGATCTTGAAATAATTCCCTTAACAAACTTCTAGTATCTTGCATAAACCCTCTTGGGGTTAAAAACCGGTTATCCATAATTTCCAAGTACAACTATCATTTCTTATGCACATCAATATATTTATCATATCAATATGTCTTTTCAGATTTATTAATCCACTTCAGGGACAATTCTTATCATTTTCCAATATAAGGGTAATTTCGTATTTTTACCATACCGAAGTATTATCATAATTTCCCATCCAAGTACCTTTAACATTTAACCTTTGATGATATAAAATATAATTTACAAATCCATGTCTGATTTCTTTATCACTATTCACAAACTTGTAATTTAATTCTAACAATCTTTCAATCTCTTATATTAGTCATTCGATCCGTATTTAGTTATAGAATTTCTACCACATTCATATCGAGTGAATAAATTATTCAACTCCACAAAAGTGACCAACATTATCTTATTCATGCATTTACCAATATCAACATGTTCCATAAAGCATAAAGAGGTAGTAAAGCATTACTTCGATTTCCGTGCAATACTGATCGACCATAAAAATTCCATTCGAACGTCTTTGATCTTCAATTCAACTTCCAATAATTCCTCAGATACATATAAACATAGATTATATCAAAAACGGAGCTTAATTACTATAAACAGATCGAATCGGGTGATAAATCAGTGAAAAATAGCTTACCGGGTTCGAATTTGGCGAAACGGACTTCGGATTCGGATTCAGGATGTCGAAAGCATAAAATATGACTTTTCAGTCAAAATCAAAGTCAATGGGTCTGACCGAAAATTTTGACGTCTTCGGGTTCGAATTTTGAAAAACGGACTGCGGAATCGGATTTGGAACGTCGAAAAATGTCAGGATAGGTATACTCGGTCAAAGTTAAAGGTCGTTTAATGCCCGGTCAAAGCTAGTCAAAGTTTTGGTCAACAGTGGTCAACGTCGGTCAACGGGTCGGGTCAATGGTTCGGGTCGGGTCAACAGGTCGGGTCGGGTCGGGTTGTGACCGATCAAACCGGTCAAAATAGCCCCAAAACCGATCAAACCAATCATTTTTTTTCTTCCCCACGCGCAGCGGCGGCGCGTGGGATCGCGTGAACAATGCTAAATTCTCGAAAAAAATTCCTAAAAATTATTTTAAGCGATTTCGAGATACTTACAAAGCTCGGTTCACATTTTTGAACGGCAGAGAGCTCGATTTCAACAAATCGGAAACTTTGACCGCTTCACCTCCTCACGCGCCGCCATCGATGGAGACCAAGGATGACACCGGCAGACTCGGAACGATGCAACGAACACGATGGTGCGGGAGGTGTCGTAAACGGATGACCCGATCGTCGCGAATCGATGAAAAACCAACTAAAATCGAGTTATTACCGACGATACTTCCGACTGAAATTGACGACGAACGGCGACGATTCACGACGAAAGGTTTGAGAGGTTTTGTTCCTCGGTTGACAACGAACACGATGGTGGTTTCAGCTCGTCGATCGAAGGTCGAACGACAAGTAGATCGGAGTTGAAAGTTGGTTGATCGGGGAGGGAAAACTGAGAAAATCCCAGCTGAACCTGCGCACGGGGTTATAATTCAACATATAAAAAATGGTTAAATCATGGGTTTAGCCACTGAATTTCATGTACTTCTTAAAAAGGTCTGCCAACTTTGAAATCGGTACAATTTAATCCACCGTTTCTTTCAAAATACCAATTAAATCCACCAATTTATAATTTCTTAAATTTAGCCCCTAAATTGGGGTGTTACAGATTCAGTGGTGAATTCAAAATGGGAAGAAGGAATAGCCAAGATTGGGCTAGTGGCGATATACCCAAGAGCGGCGGGATCAATAATACATTGAGTATGAGAGGAACTGTTTGTTATATCGCGCTGGAGTAAGGCGGTGGCGGTTTACTATCGGAGAAATGTGATATTTATAGCTTTGGAGTACTTATTCTAATTTAGAATTTAATATTATTTTAGACTTAATTTATTATTTGAGTATAGAGATTTGATAATTTAATATTATGATTTATTTATGAATTTTATTTTTTAATTTTCTATGAAGTATCAACTTTATTTATTTTTTATATCTATTTATAATTTTAAAATTTTTTATATGCCGTACCATTGTCATCCCATACCCTTTAATTTTAAAAATTGCAGTTTCCCTTCCCCGTATCCGTATCAGTGCAACATAACTAGCAGCTAAGTGCAGCGCGGTGTTGCCATCTTCGTCCTTTCGGTTCACCATTTCTTGATAATAGTCTTTCTTCCTACGCGTTCCTATTAGTACTTGGAGGACGTCTAGTTTTTTGTTTTCCACTGCCATGTGCAAAGCAGTGCGATTTTGATTTGAAACATCTCGGATGCAATCAGGGGAAGCTTCCAAAACTTTTTCCAACAGATCATCACAGTTTCCAAATCTACTAATGTAGTGCAGAGGAGTCTCCCCATTCTTCCCTTTGATTCGAGCAAGACTGGTATCGATTTCCAAGAGACGTACCGCCATCTCCTTATGCCCTTTCTCGACGGCGAGGTGAACGGGACTCAGACCTTGTTGGTTTAGCTTTCTAGCGAAGGATGGCTTTAAGCTCATAATCTCCATCGCAAACCGCGTGCACCCTTCTTCTTCAGCTATGTGTAAAGGCGTCTCGATGAACTCAACCTTGTCGAGACGCCTCAAAACATTTCCGTTTCTGTGGATTAGTGTATATAATTCACTAATATTACCTACACGAGCAGCTGTTCTCAAACTTTCATCCATGCCTGGAGGAAGAATCAACCGACAAGAAGAGAGACAAAAAGATAAAAAGATTTTGGGCTGTATGGTCTGCGTTAAAGCCACCAAGGAAACAATATATTAAGACAAATTAAGTCTATGGTTTTGGTCTTTCGTTTTGCCTTTTAAAGTAAGTAAAAGGAAAAATATATGAAAAAGAACATAGAATCATGACTATAAAAGGAGAGTTTGCTTACCTGTTCAAACAAGCAGAAAGAGATGGAGTTCCAAAATAGTCTCGGTCAAAATATTAAAAAAAAAATCCAAAGTAGTGAAGAACCCTTCCAACTCTTCATGAAGTCTGACATGGTAAACAATTTTTTAAAGAGTTTTAGTTTATTTGAGCATAAATAGTTGATCGGTGGTAGTTAAATCTTTTATTTTTAGTGTTTGGTAAACATCTCTTTGAAAGAGCTGATGGTGCAAAATAAGCTGAAAATGAAACAACGGTTTGGAAGAGCTAATTGCAAAATAAGATGTTAAATGACATATTTGACATTATTATTTCCATAATTTATTTTCAATAAACTTGTGTAGAATGAATTTTATGCAACGTCTAATGATGAATTAGTGAAATTTTATTTTATTACTCTATTTTTTAGTTGTAGATTCTCAAATATATTTTAGTTAAGAAACTATAGCAAAACATAAAAGTAAAAAAAATGTGGTGTTGATATTTTATACAAGGTTAATATTTGTAAATATTAAATTTAAAAATATATTCAAAGTGTTCAAAAATTATTCACTAATTTTCTTAAGGAATTTTTAATTCATTGTTAAAAGCATTTTATATGAATAATTTCACCCCAATAAAGACTAAATCATTATAAAACATATATGTACTTAATAACTAAATGTATCATACCCTTATTTGTTATTATACCCATATAAGTTATCAGCTAAATTTTACCAAACACTTCAATATAAACAATTAATCAAATCAATTTCTCAAATTAGCTAATCAAATCAGTTGGTCAAATAACGTGGTGTTTTTGGCATAAAAATCAATTTTTAGTTCCAAGATAATTCGAATTTCATATTGACGACTTTTCTTAATACTTGCCGAAATTGATATTTTTGTCTCCAATGAACTTGAAAGTCTAATTTCTTGTATGTCTAGAGGGAAAAGTACGTAGGATTAAAAGTAGTAATAGATGAATTTCACATTAATAAATATTTTAATGAAATTATATTTTTTTTCTAATTTCTTGACGAAATCGATGTTTCTTTTTACTTCATTCTAGGAAAATCATTTGATTTTTATTCGTGAAGCATCCTAAGGGAGGTCATCCATGTTTTATCACTAACATTTCCAGTAGGACCGGACATTCTCAAACATTCAGCCATGTCGAAAGGAAAGATAAATCGAATAGACATTCAAATTGCAAGTAAAATAAAACTCATAATTACAAAGAGACTTAAAAGAAAAGATGCTGCATTGATGTTACTATAAATAAATATAAAAGCAGCCACGTCTGGCATCCGCCTGCATCGGGTCAGTTGAAGTTCAATGTGGATGGTTCAGCGTCCAACAAGTTGGCAGGCTGTGGGGGTATTGAGGACAACAGATGGTCACATAGTAGCAATGTTCTTTGGGCCAGAAACTGAGGTAAATTCAGATTATGCGGAGCTCGTAGCAATCAAAATTGCACTAGATAAGTCTATTTGTCATAATAATCTATGTTCGTATAGTAGTAATTGAAAGAGTCTTCTCTATTTCAAGAATTCAATACTCGTGAATCTATTTGATATGATAAATCTCCATTTGGCTATTCATAGTCAATTCTGAATAAGTCTTTCGATTCGGATTTGATCGGTAAGAAAATTTTAACCAAAAATTAGCAATACGTACCTACTGAAAGTAAAATTACTTGATAAGAAGTCAATTTTGAAATAAGGGTACTGGATTTTGAAACTTGAACTGCAATATTAGACTAATCTGATCTCGATTGCTTAGTAACAAATGATTATTATTATTATGATAATTAGTGATTAAAAGGATGATTGTTATACCTGATAGTCACAGGTTCAAACTACATCGACTACATGGTATTTAGGCGTTCATTGTTAGATGGTTGAGAGTTTTTATAACAGATACTAACACTTATAATCACCCCATTTTTTGATCTTTATATGTTCGTAAATCTAAATATCTACTAATATTATACATATGGGAAGTACGGGTGTTTATCGAGGGAGTCGATTGTAAGTTGAGCAGTGCTCGACTCGTGCTCGTTAAAAAATTTTGTTACCTGATTCGAATCGTTGCTCGATAGGCTTGTTACAATTTTGCTGGACTAGTGCTCGTTAAGTAATACAACGCTTTATGCAGAATTGACATACGTTAAGTAATAACCAGTATGCTATGAATGCTGCAGGGTATTTCCAGCCATAGCCACTACTATAACCCCCACTAACTAATAGATTGTAAACTACAACTAACAAGGTTCCTTCCCGAACTCATCGTATAGGATAAGGAATAACAAGAATCCTTGAATTGCACCTACAACTACTCCTCCGGCAAGAATGGAGAGCGAAAACGAAGGGAATATCCAACATCCGACGATCGAAACACTAAGTTTCGACACCTTGTATTTGATGCACATGAACAGCATGAAAACGAAAATGATCGTTGAAAATGTACGTAGAATTATAGCTATTAAGAAGGTTGGAGCTATGGTAGATATCGATTGGTCGAAGCAGAGTGTGAGAAACGCTAGTAGTAATTGAAGTGTATTTCTGATCCCACGGGGGAAAGGTTTAAGCAGGGCGAGTGTTAGGAAGAAGGCCGCGATGAAGACAATGTAGGTTAGACTATAGAACATAAGGAAATAGGATTGATCCATCACTGCTGTCCCTATACTCCCTGGTGATTTCCTTCTTTCGATAAGTTTCGAACCAGGGGAGCTCGAAGAACAGTCGGCCTGCCAAACGCCTCCTGGTGGGCTGAGACTTGTTTGGTAGGTAGCAGTCAGCAGGAGTCCCAGAATTACTAGTAAAGTATTGCGGCCCTGCTCTGATATATTCTCCATATCGTGAAAAATTAGAGATGATGCTTTCGTCGCGTATTTGATTATTTGTTTATCAAACTGATGAGAAAAGTTTGACACTAATGGAATATAGAAACCACGTAGAACAATGACGCTTTCTCTGATATTATGTTGTTCTGCAACCTCCAATGCTGTCAAACCATCCTGATTCTTGGCTTGCCTATCTGCTTTGCAGTTTAATAGCAGCTTCACCATCTGTTTTATTATAAAATGGTGCAATCAATTAATCATGTATATACAAAAGAGTCCATGTATCTTAATCATGAAAGTAGATGAGTCTAACCTTGAGTTGATTATTTCTAGCAGCTAAGTGCAGCGCAGTGTTACCCTCTTCGTCCTTTCGGTTCACCGTTTCTCTGTAATAGTCTTTCTTCCTAAGCGTCCCAATTAGTACTTGGAGGACGTCTAGTCTTTTGTTTTCCACTGCCATGTGCAAAGCAGTGCGATTTTGATTTGAAACATCTCGGATGCAATCAGGGGAAGCTTCCAAAATTTTATCCAACAGATCATCACAGTTTCCAAATCTACTAATGTAGTGCAGAGGAGTCTCCCCATTCTTCCCTTTGATTCGAGCAAGACCGGTATCGATTTCCAAGAGACGTACCGCCATCTCCTTATGCCCTTTCTCGACGGCGAGGTGAACGGGACTCAGACCTTGTTGGTTTAGCTTTCTAGCGAAGGATGGCTTTAAGCTCATAATCTCCATCGCAAACCGCGTGCACCCTTCTTCTGCAGCTATGTGTAAAGGCGTCTCGATGAACTCAACCTTGTCGAGACGCCTCAAAACATTTCCGTTTCTGTGGATTAGTGTATATAATTCACTAATATTACCTACACGAGCAGCTGTTCTCAAACTTTCATCCATGCCTGGAGGAAGAATCAACCGACAAGAAGAGAGACAAAAAGATAAATAGATTTTGGGCTGTATGGTCTGCGTTAAAGCCACCAAGGAAACAATATATTAAGACAAATTAAGTCTATGGTTTTGGTCTTTCGTTTTGCCTTTTAAAGTAAGTAAAAGGAAAAATATATGAAAAAGAACATAGAATCATGACTATAAAAGGAGAGTTTGCTTACCTGTTCAAACAAGCAGAAAGAGATGGAGTTCCAAAATAGTCTCGGTCAAAATATTAAAAAAAAAATCCAAAGTAGTGAAGAACCCTTCCAACTCTTCATGAAGTCTGACATGGTAAACAAAATTTTTAAAGAGTTTTAGTTTATTTGAGCATAAATAGTTGATCGGTGGTAGTTAAATCTTTCATTTTTAGTGTTTGGTAAACATCTCTTTGAAAGAGCTGATGGTGCAAAATAAGCTGAAAATGAAACAACGGTTTGGAAGAGCTAATTGCAAAATAAGATGTTAAATGACATATTTGACATTATTATTTCCATAATTTATTTTCAATAAACTTGTGTAGAATGAATTTTATGCAACGTCTAATGATGAATTAGTGAAATTTTATTTTATTACTCTATTTTTTAGTTGTAGATTCTCAAATATATTTTAGTTAAGAAACTATAGCAAAACATAAAAGTAAAAAAAATGTGGTGTTGATATTTTATACAAGGTTAATATTTGTAAATATTAAATTTAAAAATATATTCAAAGTGTTCAAAAATTATTCACTAATTTTCTTAAGGAATTTTTAATTCATTGTTAAAAGCATTTTATATGAATAATTTCACCCCAATAAAGACTAAATCATTGTAAAACATATATGTACTTAATAACTAAATGTATCATTCCCTTATTTTTTATTTTACTCATATCAGTTATCAGCTAAATTTTACCAAACACTTCAATATAAACAATTAATCAAATCAATTTCTCAAATTAGCTAATCAAATCAGTTGGTCAAATAACGTGGTGTTTTTGGCATAAAAATCAAATTTTAGTTCCAAGATAATTCGAATTTCATATTGACGACTTTTCTTAATACTTGACGAAATTGATATTTTTGTCTCCAATGAACTTGAAAGTCTAATTTCTTGTATGTCTAGAGGGAAAAGTATGTAGGATTAAAAGTAGTAAATAGATGAATTTCACATTAATAAATATTTTAATGAAATGATATTTTTTCTAATTTCTTGACGAAATCAATGTTTCTTTTTACTTCATTCTAAGAAAATCATTTGATTTTTATTCGTGAAGCATCCTAAGGGAGGTCATCCATGTTTTATCACTAACATTTCCAGTAGAACCGGCCATTCTCAAACATTCAGCCATGTCGAAAGGAAAGATAAATCGAATAGACATTCAAATTGCAAGTAAAATAAAACTCATAATTACAAAGAGACTTAAAAGAAAAGATGCTGCATTGATGTACTATAAATACATAAATATAAAATGAACCACATGACTCAAACTGTCATCTTAATTATCTAATTGTTATAACATCGATCGGAACAGATAATCACTTTAGCTTAATCAAAAAGAAAAAAAATGTTACAACATCGAATGCACCGGTTTATGCAGAATCGGCACAGATTAAGGAACAACCAGCATCCTACCAATTCAATAGGGTATGTTAAGCTTCTGTAAGGATCCCTATTAGTCCACCAGCCAATATATGGAGAGTGAAAGAAATCGGGCCTACTAAGTAAACTCTGCCCTAAAACTAAAATGGTTCCTTTCCAAAATTCATCATATAGGAAAATGAATAACAAAAATCCTTTAATTAGGGCAAAACACAATTCTCCAACCGGGTTGGGAACTGGAGGGAAATGACCATCGTAATTGTAAAGAATCGAAGGGAATATCCAACATACTACAATGGAAACACTCAGTTTTGACACCTTATGGGTGATACCCATGAACACCATTAAAATGATAAGGATTATAGAAAATATTGACAACTGTATATGCCGGACCGGTAAGGGCTAGAACAGATATTGATTGATCGAAGGACGTTGCAAGACACGAAAGTAGGAATTGAAGAGCTGTCCTAAAACCTTGGGGAAATGGTTCAAGCAGACCCAGAGTTAGGAAAAAGGTTACGATGAAGACGATATAGGCTGGAATATAGAAATAAAGAAAATTATATGTCCATCATTGATGACCCTGGGAGCTTACGTTCACCGTTTACGGTGGAGCTGACGTATGAAGCATCGTCGCCCTGCCAAATACCACCAGGCGGGCTAAGAGCGGATTGGTAGGTTGCAGTTAGGAGCAGTCCTAAGATTACTAGTAAGGCATTACGGTCATCCCCTGATATATTGTCAATATCGTGAAAAATTAGCGATGATGCTTTTGCAGCGTACTTGACGATTCGTTTGCCCCACTTGTATTTCAAGTTCGAAACTCCCGGAATGAAGTCACGACGCAGAATAGTAATGTTTTCTCTGTTATTACTTCGATGTGCTACATCCAACACCGTCAAACCAGCTTGATTGGTTATATGTTTATCAGCCTTGTATTCTAGTAGCAACCTGAGCATCTGTTTAACACAATAGGTTAACCATAAAATACAAAAATAATCTATGTAATATTTATTGTTAGAATGGGATGATTTGAACCTGAGGTTGATTCTTGGTAGCAGCTATGTGGAGTGCAGTGTTACCGTCTTCGTCCTGTCTGTTCACCACTTCCTGATAATAGTCCTTCTTTCCCAGCGATCGGAGTAGGGCTTTTAGGACGTCCGGCCTGATACTTTCAACTGCGATATACAAAGCAGTGCGATTCTGAACCGTAACATCTCGGATACATTCGGGACTAGCCTGCATAAATCTAACCAACAGACGGTGTTGGTTTTTCAAGTTTACAGAGGTAGTGAAAAGGGGTCTCGCCATTCTTTCCTCTGACACGAACAACATCTTTATCAATTTCCAGGATACGCAGGGCCATCTCTTGTTGCCCCTTTTCGACCGCAGTGTGCATGGGGCTCAAGCCTCGGTGGTTCAGCTTCCTAGCGAAGGATGGCTTCAAGTTCATAATCTCCAGTGCAAACCCAATGCACCCTTTTTCTGCAGCTATGTGTAATGGAGTCTCGATGAACTCGACTTTATCGAACCGCCTCAAAACGTTTCCATCTCTCTCGATTAATTCATACAGTTGGCTAACGTTGCCCGACTCGGCAGCTGTTTTCAGATTTTGATCCATGTGAGCAGGTAAAGAGGAAACTACAAGATGGAATGAAACGGGGACGGCAAAGGAATCCGTTTCAAGTACCCGATACGTCTCCGGGACGGCTGGGGTACATATCGAAGTCGTGCCACGGTGGCAGGGTACAGCTAAAAGAAATCGGGGGCGTTTGATGCTTAACTGGGGACGTTTTGAAGACTATCGCGGCGCTGCAAACGGCGGCGAAGGCAGCGCGGCAGGAGTGATGAACGACAGCTAGAGTTGTAAAAAGGAAAAAAAATTAAAGGAAGAAGAAATAGGAAGCAGCCTCGTGAGGGAGAAAGAAGAGATAACATCACTTAAAGAATGTTTGGTCTAATATTCGGTTGATCTCTGAGTTTCCTAGAATTTTGGAATAGAAAACAAAATTTGAAGTATTGTCAAATTGACCACCAACTTAGTTTAGGGATTTAGAAAAAATTCCCAAGAATTAGGTGTTACACTAATTATTTTTCTTAAAAATAATGGGTATGCAAAACTTTTTATTTTTTCCATTTTTCTTCAACATATTATACTAAGTTTCATCTTTTTTTTCTAAATAATGGGATGCACTTGGCCCCCTAGGAGGCTTAGTGCATCTACCCTTTGTACAAATCCACTTGTGTGAAGAAAGAGGATAGCCACATTATACTTGTGTGGCGAGAATCTTTATCGATATTATGTGATACCAAAATTCCTTATTTTAGCTTCTTGATTTCTAACTGATATCGACTGTCAATGTTGTTTATTTATATGTGCTTATTGTGTGAATTGTATTATAAATGAGGCTAGGTAAAACAAATATATGAATGAGAAATCTATCACGAGGATCATAGATTGATGATGACTAGCATGATACTCATTGATGACATTTTATGCATAGACTTCTACCTGACTACCTCCGTACTTATATTATCGAGCATGCTTACGTTTATGAATAGAAGTGTACCATTGAGCTATGTAAAGCTTAACTTTAAGTTGTTCTCATTCCCATGTTGGTAGTTTGTGCTTGTTAGAGGAGTACCGTTGCATCAGGATTCTAGCGTCGTTACTATTTACTTTAGATGCATGTGTTTTCATAGAACTCTTATTGTTTATTTGGTTTGTAAACTCTATTTGTATTGTATTATTTTGATTTACATCAAACTATCATGGAGCTCGGATTTTTGTACATATATTTTATTATTGTTATGAATGTCGTACAACTACAGTATAAAATATTTTAAATTTAGCGGTTGCTTCAGCTGTTCAGTGTAACATCTTAAACTCATCATATAATGCATCAGATGATGGGCATACACTTGACATAGTATATTTTTTTCCTGTTTTGTTTATTTTTTTCTCGAAAGAGTTTTTTCATTTTAAATCGAGGTGTTATTTATTTTAAGATTCTTTTATGACATTTATCTTCTTTTCTAAAATTTTATAAACATCTTCGACTATTGTCACAGGTCAATTGCCACTTTTTATCGTTGTAGACAACAAAATCAGTACCAAAACATTTATCGAGAAGAAGAATCAATTGGAAATAGGAGAATAAAAAATAGAGGTTCAAGGCCACCTGTACCAGCAGTTGTTCTCAAACCTTCATCCATGTACGATGGAAGGACAAACATGAGAGAAAATTGAAAGGTCTAGGTCTAAGGCCACATGGGGCAATTAGTCAAAGGGAGACTTTGGTTGGTGGACCAAGGGGTGCTGGGAAGCTGTCGCATCCCGTAAAATTTTTAAATTCCCTTATATTATAGATATTTTCCTTGTATTTTATATAAATTATCTAAATTTACATCTCTACAATTTTAATATAATTTCTTAAGTTTACGTCCCGAAAAAAATTTATGTATTTGAGACATAAACACCAAATTTAATATCATAGACCATTAAACCTATGTCGAGATGACATATATGTAAGAAGGACCACTCCATTAGGACCCATAATCAGAAAATGATCTGTAAGGAAAATGATGAACAGAAAAAACGTGGTATTTTGGGCATAAACCCAAAATTTAATGTTGGTAAATTCTATTCACACCATTAAAGATGAGCCTACAGCCTATGTGGTATACAGAAACACGTTACTAATGTAATATATCTGGAACACACTACTAATTAAATTGTCCTTATTAAATAAACATTAAAAAATTTAAAGATTATTTCATGATTAATCACTAATTTTGTAGGATAATATTTTTAAATAATCATTAAACTAGGTTAAAATATTTTTTTAGATATTAAACTTTCAAAAGTTATATAATGAATATTGAGCTTTAGTTTTTTTTTATAAAACAAATATGACAATTTTAATTATCATTAAAGAGGTGAAGTGATATATTGAATTAATAAAATAATCTCATTTACTCCCTCAATTATAAATAAAATTTAATTTTTGATTTTTTTTCATATTTCTAAGTAATAACTTTAAAAAATATTTTTTTTAAAAATAAAAATTTACAATTTATTTTTCAAATTATAACTTTATGAATTTGTTCATTCATAAAATTATTTTATAAATAATTTTTATTTAGTTATGATTAAATTTTTAAAATTTATAATTTATGATTTCCGATATCTTACAATATCAATTATCAAAATTAAGTCAATTTTTTTTGTTAAGCAATATGATTCAATTATTTAATTTTTGTTTAATAAATTTAAATACAATTTAAAAAATATATTTATAATTTCAAAAATAAATTCTGAAATTCAATTTATTTCATAAAAATAGAATTTTTTAATTCTTACTTAAAAATATTGAAAAAAAAATATCAAAAGCAAATTTTAGTCACAATTGATGTACCAAAGAAGATAATTTTTATCGATTTAAAATGTCATATCATCTCTTAATGATAATTAATGATTGGTGCTTATATTTTTTACCAAATCTAAAGTTTAATGTTTATTTTGTAACTGTTAAAAAGTGAATGACTAAAAATATAATTTTATCATAGTTTTCATGATCATTTATAATTTTACCCTATTTTAATTTAACTAGTGATGTGTTTCGGTGTATCGTTTTAGTGGTGTGTTTTAATATGCGACGTTTTCCATAGAATTTTCCACCATCAAAGTCGTTGACAAATGAATTTACTATTATTATTTACATTTTGGAACCAAATTATCATTTACCAAATGAACCGTTTATATTATGGAAAAGTAAGACAAAACAGATTTTTCATGATAACATAGTAGGTAGCTCTTTTTTATACAAAAGTATCGATCAACATAAATTAAGTATCGGTATTTTATAATTTGAATTGCTTTCTTAAATAATTGTGGCTAAAAAAAAGAGTCAATGTTCATTGCATAAAAATTAAACAGTTATAACTCCTGAAATTAAATCATATAAATCATGTAACTCCTGATATTAACAGCTTGTATCTCCCATGAACAAAGCTGGAAATCAGTCTAGATACATCTTAAATTCTGATTTAATTTAGAAAAATAACTGTTTAATTTATTTAATTTCAGACAACTAATAATCAGCTGTTATCATCTGAAATATTCGAACTTTAACAGTCTCAGTAGCCAATAAATATCAGATGAATCTTTCACATTTTTCATTTAATCTTTCAGAGAAAAATTCCTTACGAATTTTCTCTAAAAATATAGTATCCGTGTGGACGTATCAAAGACACGTATTACCACACCTTGTTTTCTATCACTCAACAAGGGAATAGAGAATGTAAACTTTAAATACCATTCCCACTAGTATTTCCAACTCTATGTGGGATTGAGAATTACCAACATTCCCCTACTAATGCGAAAGAATTCTTTTGAAACTCGAAAACAATCTTTCCAGAAGAGCAATAGCGAGATTAGTTTCTTAAGCACTAGTGAACGTATCTGGAACTAGTACATAGTTATGATGAGCAATCCTTCTCTTAGATAAGTGAAACTAGTCTGGAACTTTCTAAGATGGGGGTAAACTCATAACACACAACTAACCCCTTCATCCACCTGAGTCCTCGATGTGTAAGATATATATATATATATACAAAAGTATATATTTGGCCATCTTACCTCAGGATTCTAGTAAGTGTGCTAGAAAAATGGCCCAAAATTTTTCATAGAAGGTGGCTAACCCTTCTCACTTACATAGGTTATTTCATCAAGTTTATCTCGATATAAACCACCCTTAACAGGGATATGAAATAATTAAGAGCTTTTACAATAGCTCAACCTCATAAAGGGTATGGTGACTTTCTTCAAGTTTATTATTAATTAACCACTCAAACTCTGGGCTAAGAAGTCATTAAGAATAAATATTCAACATCATTTATTGGTAAATTCAATAAGTCATTCTCACTAAAACCATCCAAATACTTGGATTTGAATTTATTAAGAGTTTAACAAACTCAACCTTTCTGTCGGTAAGTTCATCATTTCCTACCCACTCACTCTGGGTTATGAACTTATTAAGAATAGATATTCAGCCAAAATCGGTAAATTCATCAAGTCTTTCTCACTAAGACCACCCGAAGTCTGGGATATGAATTTATTAAGAGCAATTAAGCTCATCCTGGGCATGCACATTATTCATCATAAGGATAGGCTGTAGGAATGTGCACTATGAGTCTTTCCATGGTTTCGTTTGACCACACGGAACTTAGATAACTAAGTTGGGTATCCACCATGAATTCCTCAACCAATGAGCTTTAGACCCATCCCCCTCGACGAATCTAGGACCAAGGATATGCTAGGTTCCTTTCCGACTTCACATACTGATTCATGCCTTATGTGAATGTGTCTTTTCTTACCATTGTACACATAGCACAGCTTGTGAATCATACAACAAAGAAATCGGAGGAGTCGGTCTTCCCCACAACAGAATATCTGCTAACAAGCTTCTAAGCCACTCGGCTTCTTGCCTAGCTAGGTCAAGAGTTATAAACTCTGACTCCATGTTAGAACGAGCAATACAAGTCTGTTTTGATGATTTCTACGAGATTGCTGCTCCACCTAAAGTAAAAACATACCCGCTCGTAGAGCTTACATTATCA